TGATTGGCTTTTAGATTGTAAATTGCCTTTAATCTTTTTGTTTGTTTGTTTTTTGGGTTTTTTTGGTACTGGGGATCAAACTCAGGACCTTGCGCTTGCGAGGCAGGCACCGGAACCCCTGAGCTAAATCCCTAGCCCCTGAATTGCCTTCAATCTTTAAAAATCCTACCAGTTATAAAGTTTACCTTTTATACCAAAAAAAAGCCACAATCATCTAAAGATGTTCTACAAATACTCCTCTTTAAACTGCATATTTCTATACAGACAAATTTTCTTCATATTGAAATGGACTGCATGAACAGGGCCAGAAGAGAATCCCACTGTTTCCTATTAAGCCAATCACTAAAGGGATTTGGAGAAATGTAAAACACTCCGCTCACTAATCTTGTTTTGTTTTGCAATACATATTTTTTGTTAGTAGTGGAGATTGAACCCAGAGCATTTCACTTTCTAGGCCAGTGCTCAAGCACTGAGGTGCTTCCCAAGCCCTTTTTTAGCTTTTGAGACAGGGTAGGGTCTCTCCAAGTTGCCCAGGATACCCTCAAACTTGAAATCCACCTGCCTCCGCCTCCCAAGTAGCTGGACTTACAGACATGTACTACCACACTTGGCTCCTTGCACTTATTTTTAATATGGTATTTTACTGACATACAATGAATTCACTGTTGTTTTAAATGAATTAATGAATAAATATTTAAAATGTTTTCATTCTTAATTTTCATACAGTAAATATTGTTTTTTTTAAAAACCCATAGAAACAAAAAGTGGTTAGGCCTTCAGTGATATCTAAGAGTGTAAAATGCTTTTCACACCAAAATGTGAGGATTGCTAGTTTAGACCATATGGAAGAGGTCTGGGCATGCACAGGGCAAGAGAGTTAGGAGAAAGATTTTCAATAGTTGTAGGTAGGTTCCCTTTTTTTGAATATGTAGGAATAGCAGACACTTTAAAAAGATCTTCAGAGTATTTTCCTTTTCCAGATTTCCTTAGCTTTCATAAAATACTTTATATCCTTTAATGCTTCTTGCTTGGATTCTATATTATCTTACAATGATATTGCTCACCTGCCATACCTATAACTATTGCTTGATTTTTTTTTTTTGGTACCGGGGATCGAACTCGGGTCCTTGCGCTTGCGAGGCAGGCGCTGAAACCATTGAGCTAAACCCCCAGCCCTATTGCTTGATTTTTATGTGAGTTAGTTTTCCAATTTGCTTTCTAAAAATTAAAAAATAGGGCCAGGAATGTACCTCAGTGTTACCATGCCTGCCTGGCAAGTGCAAGGTCCTGAGTTCGATCCCTGGTACCACAAAAAAAAAAATTAAAAAACAATTTAGTATGGTATAAAAATAAACAGCAACTAACCATTGTAACCATTTTAAAGTATACAGTGGAGTGGTTTTAACTTACTCATATTGCTGTACAGCAGATCTGGAGAATTTTCTCATCTTGCAAAATTGCCACTCTACACCCATTGAATGGCAGTTGTCCATTTCCCCCTCTGGCAGCCACTAGAAACCACATTCTGCTTTTCATTTTTTGGCATTTGACTACTTTTGGTACCTTGCATAGTGTGATCATACAGTATTTGTCTTTTTGTAAGACAAAGATAAGCATAATGCCCACAAGGAAATCTACATGACTGGGCCTCCTCCTTCTTAAATGTTGAATAATATTCCACTGCGAGTAAGCAGTGCCTTTGTTATCCACTCATCCACTGATGGACGTTTGGGTTGCTGCAGGGGACATGGGGGTATCTCCAGCATACTTGGACTCTAGATGTTGACACTGACCCATACCCATGCCAGGAAACAGCTGAGCGAGAGGTGGCCATGAGGGCCGACGTGAGGGTGAGGGTGAGGGTTAGGTCAGCCTCGTCTCTGGATACCCAGGTGTAGGCACAGGGAAGCGGAAACTGGCAGGGTAACTCAGAGCCCAGAAGCCCCTGTCTATAAGGAAGGCGTGAGCTTGTGTTGAATTCTCACCATACATTAGGAAAATGTCACTATGAAAACAATGAGAAAAAATTATTCCTCCAGTTTCTCAGGACCATGTATAAACCTCAAGGAAAACAGTATCACCAGTGTCAGGAACAAGCCTAGCAAGAGGCTTTTCCTATGGAAGAGGATTTTGTTTTGTTTTGTTTTTAGAGTAAGAAGAATTTATTGAGAAAGAAAGCTTCTGTCTAAGAGAGACAGAAGGGGGACTGGAAAGTGGGTTACCTGCCCACCCTGCTTCTCAAAGGTGTTTTATGGGACAAAGCCACAAGGTGAGGTGGGTTCAAGGTGGAACAAAACTATAGTCAACTAGTAAGATTACAAGTACAGTTACTTAGGTAATACTGAGCCAATGAGAAATCACAAAGGTGGACAGAACTATGAACAACCCATAAGATTATGACAAGTGTAGTCACTTAGGTAATATTGATTAAATGGGGATCCAGTGGGGAGGCAAGTCATAGAGCAAGTATGCAAGGAATGAGCAAGGATTTTCAGTAAGGGGTGGGTCAGGGATCTTGGAAGATCTCTCGGTCCCCCAGCCAGGTGATTGATACCTATTTAGAATATCAATCACTGCTATTTATCCTACGTGAGTGTGGTAGTTTCTCTCCTACAATGCTGGCCTTCAGTGAATGTATCATTTTTGTTTTTGTTTTTGTTTTTGTTTTTGTTTTGGTACCGGGGATCAACTTGGGTCCTTGTGCTTGCACAGCAGGTGGCGAAACCACTGAGCTAAATCCCCGGCCCCCCAGTGAATGTATCTTGATTGTCCTCCATGTTGGCTTCTGAGTGTCCTCCATGTTGATTCCACAAAGGCTGGCCCTGTCTAACTGCCTACAAGATGTCTAATTAACTTACCTATCTACAATATTCCCCTCTGAAGAAATACCCCTAACTGTCGTGGGTGAAGACCGTTCTGGCTACTTCTGGCTGAAGAGGTTCAGAGTTGTGATCAGCAGTGAACAGTTACTCTACAGAGTCTATCTAAAGGCCCTCGATAGGTGCCAGGCATTGTCATCTTGGGTAGGCTTATAGCTTTGAGTCTGAAGGAGACAACGCTGAAGAAATAGTTAAGAATACATGGGCCAGGGCTGGGGATTTAGCTCAGTAGCGCTGCCACCTGCCTTGCAAGCACAAGGTCCTGAGTTTGATGCCTGGTACAAAAAAAAATACATGGGCCAAATAATAAGGTCAGTAGGATTGTTATGCATAGAGCCAACAAGCATTTCCACCAGCAGGAACTAGTAATAGGAGGATTTTTTTAATGAAAAGAAGAATCCTCTAAGTAGACTACATTCACATCTCCACCATAATTCATACTATCTAAATTCAAGCTTGAAAATTTTTTTCTTACTCTTGCTGTGTGTGCGAGGATCACAAAGAAGCATGGTTTTGTGTGGCTAATGTGGCAAAGACCAATCTCTCAAAAAATAGAAAAGCCTTCACCAAAATTCTACCCTGAGTTCTCTACTCCCGAGGCTGCTGGCTACATAAATCATTCCTACTGAATAAAGTCGTCTTTAAAGAGCTTTCCTTTCACCTACAGACCCCAGAGTTTGTATCTGGGCTCCCATGCAATGACTGTAGGTGATATTGTGATAAAACCTGGTCATACACGCCAGGGATGTAGCTCAGTGGCGCTGCGCCTGCCTGACAAGTGCAAGGTCCTGAGTTCGATCCCACTAACAAAAACAAAAACAAAAAAACCAAAACCTGGTCATACACAAAAAGTGAAGGAAGACTCCACCAATTTTGAAGCTTACCGGGGACTAGGAAATGTGTTTGCAAAGGGACAAGGGAAAACCACTGCCAACTTGAGCCATTACACTGACCTCCCTTGATTTCTTTTTGGCCCATGCTTTCAGTCTCGGAGAAAGGGAGGGTAATTGCAAACTGCACTTTTGGTACCACTTTACGGGTCACATAGTAAATATAGTTATTTTATGATACAGCAAAGCAGAAAAGGCACTGGCTTGAGGCCCAGAGATAAGGTGTACTTCCAGCATGGCTACCCACCAGCCAGGTAGCTTTGGACAAGCGTCTCTCTCTTGACCCTCAGTTTACCTTCTGTAAAACCCAGTACTTGGACAAGACGAGCTGTTTCTTTCAGCTCTCACCTTCTGTGAATTAATGACCACGGTAGTCACTCTACTTTTTATTTGGCATGTGTTCATTTGATACATATACACATATATAAAAATCTGTACATGGTAAAAATACAAAATATTTCTTTATAAGTTATGCAATTAAACAGCTACCTTTTTAAAGTTAAAAAACCATTGCGAAAAGCGAGAGGAGAGAAAAATCTAGACAATCCTTTATATTCATTCACAATAACCTTGGTATAAAATATCCATACAAAACAAATGTACAAGATAGAGTACAGTTCATAGAGCTGTGCAGACAGCAGAATTCAGTTAAAAAAAATCAAAGAGGTCCAAGAGTCGCTCTTTGTCTACTGCTATCCACTGCTGGCTTTGCTGCTCAGGGACACTTCCCCCCCCCCAAAAAAAAAGAATAAAAGGGCTCAAGATAGAGTGCTTGGTGCATATACTATGCATGTAGAAGTTAAAAAGAAAAAGCTTTAAAACACACAACAGCCAGGTGTGGTGGTGCACACCTGAGATCCCAGGACTCAGGAGGTGGAGGCAGGACTGCCACGAGTTCGAGGCCAGCCTGGCCTACACAGTGAGTTCAAGACCAGCCTGGACTACATAGTGAGACCCTGTCTCAAAAACACCAAAAGATAAAAATGAAAACATACACAGCAGAAATAGAGAGGAACTCTTCCTCCTAGTTAGGGGACTCACTTGTTGCCACCACAGAGCGTGTGGAAAAAAGACTCCATATCTGCATTTCCCTTGGACCAGAAGGCACAGGCTCGCTTGGGCTCATTCTGTTTTGCAGCTCTTGTGCTTTCCAGGGGAGCAGCCGGGGGACTCAGGGTCTGGAGTCTCCAGGAGGAGGAGCCGCTGGCTGTCGGGGGAGGAAAGCACCCCGGGAAGCCGTGGAGAGGGCTGCTGGGAAGCGGGGTGGGGTGATGAAAGGTCTCCGGACCGGACACGGAGGGCCGGGCCCTTGCGGACCGCACGGAGGCCTGCAGGGGTCTAGGACACGGTGATTTCCTCCTCCTCCTCCTCATCCTCCTCCTCCGCGCCATCCTCCTCCTCGCCCTCGTCCTCCGAGTCGGAGAAGTCCGAAGGTTTTCCGGGGCTGCCCGAGCGTGCGGGCGAGGCGGGCAGCGGCCCTGGGAGCCGGGGATCCCGCGGGTGCCGGGGCTCGGGGGTCGCCCCGAAGGCTGGGAGCGGGAGCGGCCGGGGGCTGCCGGGGCACTGGTCCTCTTCCTCGTCGCCCGCGCGGCCCTTCTGGCCCACGTCGCTGAGGTCCGGGTGCGGATTGAGTTTGGTGGGCAGCGTCTGCTCGCGGCAGCCCCCGCTGGACAGGAGCTCGCGCTCCTTGGAGTTTCGCCACTTCATGCGCCGGTTCTGGAACCAGATTTTCACCTGGGTCGCAGGGAGGCAAAAGGAACGCGGAGCCAGTGAATAGGGCCCGGGGAGGACCGTGGCGCGGGAGGGCGCAGCCCTCGCTCTCTCTGCACCCATGGAAGTGACTTCCACTGATCTGCCACCTCCCTGGCCCTCTCTGCTCCAGGGACACCCTGCCCACGCGAGCACGCACCCTGCATTTGGCCTCAATTTCCCCCTCTGCAGAAGTGGATCAACCGGGCCTGGGGAGGGCGTGCAGCCCACTGGGGCTGCGGAGCACCTGCCCTCACCTGCGAGTCCTTCAGGCCCAGCTTGGCTGCCAGCTTCTTGCGGTCCGGCTTGCTGATGTACTTCTGCTTCTGGAACATCTTCTCCAGCGCCTTGCGCTGCACGTCGGAGAACACGGCCCGGCGCAGCATCCCGCGGCGTGGCTTCCCACGGGCGGCCAGCGGCCACGAGAACGTGCCCGGGATGGGCACAACGCCGGAGGACGCTGCGGGCGGAGCGAGGCCGGTGAGCGAGGCTCCCCTCCTCCCCTCCCCTCCCCTCGGACGCCTTCATCTCTTCAAAGCCCTCCTTCCCCTCCCCCTGGAGAGCCGGCCACAAACCTGCAGCCTGCGGCAGTGAAAGCCGCTTTCCGCCCAAATAACTTTTCCTTTCAACCGTGCAGCCCCGGATTAGGGAAAACCGTGAAACCAGCCCCCAGCATGCCCTGTGGCGTTTCTCCATTCGGGGTACCAGGGAAAGTAACCTGTGTGGACTCCTCAGAATAGCAACGAAACCCTAAACTAAAAATAAACCCCACCCCACACCTCTATCACCTTGGTAGCTTCCGCCTTCTCTCAGTGCAAAGAGGATACTTCGCTGATTTGAGAGAGAGAACGAGGGAAAATCCGCTTTTGGATTCTTTTTTTAAAAAGTCTAATCCGTATTCGTCTTTTTAATAGTAATCTTTCCTCCCCTCCCCCACAAAACGTAAAGAATTCGGCCCGAATACAGGAAAAGTGGCAGCTAATTAGCACACTGACCGCTTCCCACTGGGTATTGGCATGGTAAAGAGGGGGAGAGTTTCGCTTTAAGGGAGAGAAAGAGAAAACCAAAAAGAAACAGAGACCCTAATGAAGCGTGAATGGTAATTGTGTAGTAATGAACTAACAGAAAAAGACTGTGGACAAGCAGCGAAAGCCATATATTACTGGCACAAAAGAGATTTACACTTTCAAACTAAACACAACTGCAGGCCAAGACCACTGGGAGAATACTGATGCCAGAGGCTTCTCCGGCCCGAATCGTTCTCATTAAATGGACATGAAAAGCTATTTATAAAGCTCGGGTTGTTTTTGTTGGTGCATTGGGATGAGGGAGAAAAGGAGCACATTCCTCTATCAGCAAGGAGCATGAACGTGGGTGTGTGTGCGGGGGGGGGGGGCGGGAATTCTCTCTCCCCCTTTAAAAAATCAACTGCGCCGTTTCTTTCGCTGATATCTGGGAGCGGGCCCGGTGCTACCCATCCCCCCGACCATGCCGGGCCTCGCTCTCTCCGGGGTCTCTCCCTTCTCCCTCGGAGTTTTCAGCAGCTGCAGGGTTTCTGAGCCAGTGATAGTCCAGGATGAAAACCTTCTGCTTCTCCTTCCCGCGGGGGCCCTTCACTGGGACCCTCTCCAGGTGCCTCTTTGCAGGCCCAAAGCTCTTTCAAAAGATACGGCAAGGTGGGGCGGCGGGGTATGAGAAGGGGCTGGGAAATCGGGTAGGAAGTGGAAAGCGGGGTGAGCGGAGGATCTAGGCCTCCTCCCCCTGGCATCCCACACAAGAGGGCACCCCATGTGGTCTTGTGAAAAGCCCCAGCCCTGAATGAGTCCGAAAGAGAAATTAGCCCCGGCTGGTAGGTGTCTCCGGCGGGCGGCGCGGAGGGCGAGGGCCGGTCTGTGTGTGGCTGCCCGGAGGAGCTGACCGATTGGTCATGGTGCTGAAACCTTTGTGAGGAACCGTGGCCCGGTGCACCGACTCTGTGGGAAAACGGCGGCGTGAAGGGATGCCAACAGCTCCTCGCCGGGAAGGGAACCGCCTCAAATTGGGACCATGACAATTCTTGCTAATTTGTAGAGCAGGGAATTGGTGCAAAGTGTCAAGCAGTCACTGCTTGTGCTAAATAGGGCATCAAATTGGCGCGACGGATTCGCGAATGTTGTACGCCTCGCAACCTCTGAACCAGAGCGTAACCCCGAGGGGAGGACGGAGAAATGCGGCTCCGGGCCGGGAGCGACGGGGCAGCCTCGCGCAGGACGCGGGCCAGGCCTACCTGGGAAATACGAGGATCTGATGAAGGGCTGGAAGGAGCCTTCGAAGTAGGGAAAGGCGAACGTCTTGGGAGGCAGGCTCGGGAGCAGGGCGGGGGCGGTTTCTGGGAGCGGGAGGAAGGCGGAGAATGGTTACGCACAGCGCGCTGAGCGCGCGATCTAGCGGGGCCTCGGCTTCCACGCGCGTCGTTTTCCAACGCGCCGGCCGAGTAAACCGAATCTTCCTGCGCAGTCTCCTCCCCCCGGGTCCTCTGCGCCGCCCCCTCTCCCCTCCATCCTGGCCACGGAGGAGACAGACCGGGCTGGAGTGAGTGGGAGGAAAGAAACTGGCAGAGCCACAGCACCCGCTAATTCAATAAATGCCTCCTCTCGGACGGGCAAACAGCTGGAAGTCGGAGCCCAGAAACCCCAGCGCCGGGGCCGCCCCCCGCCCCGATCCCGGGCTCAGGTCCACTCCGAGGGTGGGGCAGCTCTGCCCGCGCCTCCTGCGTGGATCTCGGGCTCCCCCTGCCAGACGCGGGGTTTCGGGGTGTGCACAGAGGTGTGCGCGGGCGCTCGCTCCCGAAGGAGACTCAGTCCGAAAGCACCTAAGTGGGCCCGCGGTGTTCTTCCTTCGCCTACCTGTTCTGGGCGCCGAGGAGAGGATGGCGTTCACCCCAAACTTCAAAAACGTGGGCTCGCTGGCCCGGGAGAGGGCGGTCTGAGGAGAGCTGCCGCGCCGGCTGCCCGTGCCCGGGGTGCCCGGGGTGCCTGGGGAGCCCGGGTCGGAGGCCCCGGTGTCGGCGGCGGCCGCGGGGGGCCCCTGCCTGGGGGGCGACAGGCTGGCGGCCGGCCCGCTGCGGGGCAGGTAGGCGGGGGGCCGGCTGATGCGGATCAGATCCTCCACTAGGAAGCTCGAGTGGCCGGAAAACGCCGACTGGAGGGACCGGGGCAGCGTCAAGGTGGGCGTGGGCCGCAGGAGGCTCGGGTACCCCGCGGGGGGCGCGAGGAGCCCAGGAAACATCATGGTCGGAGCGGGGCGGGCGGGCGGCAGAACCCTTCTCCCCGCGGCCGGAGGGTGAGGCCTCTCTTCCGGCCCCTCGAGCTCCCGGGTGCCCTTCTCTCGGGCTTAGCCAACGTCTCCAAGTAACGATCCCTCTTGGGCGCCCGCGAGTCCTCCGGGGCCCTCTGGCCGAGGTGATGGTTTTATAGCGGCCCGCCCGCTACAGCGCTTTGAAAAGTGACAGCTCTGACAATGAAGTTCAACAAAGTTCTCCACTCGAGCTTCATGCGCTGCAGGCTCCGGGCCCTCTGATTGGCGCAGAGGTGCAATTTATGATTGGATTAGTCTTCATAAGCAAGGCCCGCACAATGGGCCGCCAACAAAGGCCCTCGCGCGTCAGTTCTGCATATCGACCGCCTCTTTGCAATACTGTGCGCCCCCAAAGCTCTTGCCGGGGGGGTTTTTTGTTCCGAAGCAACACCCGGGCTAATTAAATGCCTATTTAGAAGTTTCAGATGACATCTTGCCTCACAGAAAAAGAATTATTTAAAGAACGCACTAAATTTATTTGCAGCTCCCCTGTTGAGCCCGGAAAATCAATCAATAAATATTCATAGAAATACATCTCCAGGCTACCAGTAAAACAGCTCTCCCCTTGCAGAGAGGGTGTGGAAAATTTCAAGTCCTCAATCACGAAAATATGCTCCCTCCCCAGCGTCTAGCCCTGTGTGTCCCTCCTGCTGAAGCCTCAGGCAGATGTGAGGGCTGCTCTAAATCAAAGTTAGAACTTCCACTCTCACGGCCCAGGCCCTGGGAGGTTTGCAAATGGATGCTTGGGGCAGTTGGATGTGATGCCAAGGCCTGGGGTTATCTCATTTGGGAAGACTCGTCGAGTGCCCGAGTTAGTGGGTACACCTGCAAACTCCTGGCACCTTGGCAAACGGGTTCGGACAGGCAGTTTCTCTAGCAGTCCCTGCACGAATGCACACGGCTCTCTTGGGGTAAGAACTGGGGGGGGGGGCTGCCCCTAGCTGGGGCACACAGGCTACCACTGGCAAGATGACGCCGCACCCGCAGCGACGTCCCAGCGTTTTTCCAACCTCCAGGAGCTCCAGGTGCTTTAAATTGAAACACGCTACCCTACCTGTTCCCGGGTGCATAACGTGGTCTAGGTTTTGCAGCTTTTTAATAGCAACGAACGAATACAGAGGGAAGGACAAGGTTCCCCCAAATGTGGATGCGTGCCAGGAAAGCCTCTCCTAAATCTGACGCACTTCCCACGAGAATAGTCTCAGACAATCCCTTTGCTGTCCTCCCGGTTGGGCCTGAGGTGCCGCTGAGCTTCCACCCCGTTGCGCTGCTCGCCGAGATAACAGATGTGTTAAATGTCCCATTCATTTCTTTCGTGTGGCTGAACCTCCCCCAAGAGAAGTGTGCAGCCCGGCCAGGGCGCCCTGATCCTATTAACCATGAACTAACTGTCACCTTCAGCTGGTTTTCCTTTTTGCTTTTAACACAAAGCTTTCTCAAAAATCTTATTAACTAGCTTTATTTCTCTCGATAGTTTTGTTCAGGGCGTTTTGTGTTGATGATCTCCATGTCGCTGCTTTAACTATTCAATAAAAGTGCATCTGCGATTTGTATCATATTAAACCTGAAACCGAACGCGCTAAAGCTCTCCCTTGATTCAAATTAAAAAGTTATTTAGGACCGGGCTCTGGAGGCGAATTAACGCTGAGCGATGACGCAACTGAGGAGTTTCCGGGCCCAGGTCTGTTTTCGGAGGAGTCCTGGCCGGCAGGCAGGGCAGGAGTGAAAGCCAATCAGAAAAGGAACGACGTGTAAGTAAGTGGCCTTTTAAATAGGGGGACTGCGGAGCTAGAGTTAATTGGCAGTGCCTGGAACAGAAGAAGGAGGTCTGCCGCAGGACTTCAAAGGTTTCTCTCCTTCAAGTTTTGCAATAAAATAGGTGAGAGAGTTTAAACCGCTCTAGTTCCACGCCCAAGGGTCGGCTGTCTTCCTCGCTCCCGGCTTCCTTCACCTTCCGGTGTCTCCCATTTACTCCCCAGCAGTCTGGAGCCCGGAAGCCTGCGAGTTTGTGGAAGGAGACGTGGGTGGCTAACGGTCACCAGGTCCTACCCTTGCCTAGGCACTCGCGCCTTTTCCAGACGCTCTGGCTCAGTTTGGGGTTTGCTGGGGCGGGGGCCTTCGCGGGTGTCACAGTTCTCACCCCTTCGGCTGACGCGACCCCCGCCCCTCCACCCAGCCTAGCCACTGCCCCACGGCGGACCTGCTGCTGCTACCTTCTCTGCTTTTAAAGGGCGGGCCTGGCATTTTTCTGGACGGTGGGTCGCCCCCTTGCTGCCATCCACGTGGACCCCGCTTCCCGCAGGCGTCTCCATGACCCCCTAAAGAATTCCGCAAGCACCGAAGAAAACTGAGGGTGGGGGAGGGGAGGCGAGCGCTCGGCGCCCGTGGAAAGGCAAAAATAAATCCCCAGGAAGCAAGAAATCGGACGAGAGGGTCTTACTTTAAGTGGTCTCCTTGAACTCCGCGCTAGCCTCGGGCCGCTAAGACCTGTGACTAACGCCGCTTGGCCCAGCCCGGGCTCCCTGCTCCTGCCAGTCATGGAAATGTCGTTATCTTCAGGTTTATTTCGAAGGAACCGCGCGCTTTCTGGGCGATTTCTCTTTCCGAGGAAAAGGACACGGGAGGGAGAAAAGAGAACGGGAGGCCCTGGCCAGGGGCCAGGACTCCTTGGCCTACGGGAGCCCGATCGGCGGCTGGAGGGGATCGAGTCCCTGGCCACCCTCCAGGCGCTTGCCCTCGCTTCCGGGGACCCCGTGAAGCCTAGATTTGCAGAAATAACTTTGGGGTTCACTTGGGGCGGTGGGAAGGGCCAAGAACCCTTTCCTCCAGGCAGTGGAGAGGGCGCTTGGCGACAGCCACAGCTGGGACCCACCCACCCCGCTCCGGGCAGCGCGGGCTACCCAAGGGACAAGGGGAGGTGAGCTCGGGACAAGAACTTCCGGCCTCGGAAAAGACGGCAAGTGTGGGATTCGGGACCGCTGAGCCTAAGGCCGCCCTCCGCAAGCCGTAGAGCCCCAGGCTCTGGCTCTGGCCTCCGGAGCGGCCCGCAGAGTCCGAGCGCGCTTGGGGAAGGTCAGCCCGGCGCACGGCCGACAAGCGCCCGAGGCCGGGCTCCTGGGGACCCGGGGGCAAAGACGAGCTGACCGGCGAGGCCGAGGAGGAGGGCGGCGAGGCGCCAGCTGAAGGAGCTTTCCTACCGCCGGCCTCTCCATTAAGACCACTCCAAGGGGCTCACCTTTAGAATAGGCCACTAGGAGCTACCGGCTGCCCCGGTCCTTTCTAGCGTTTCCCCTTCAGCCCCCACCCCTTTCAGACTCACTCCCCTCTTTTTCCTTGAAAATCCTTCTATTGTGCCAATCAAGCAGATGGTTTGCAGGAAATATAGCTTGGCCTCGCTGACCGAGACTAATTTTAACTAGCTTTCCAAGCCTGAAACGTTTGTTTTGCTCTTACAAAATAGCCCCTAAAACAGCTGGCAAGGGTGAATTAAACCCATTAAAGACACATTTATAAGAAATTATATTCACATAGATTGCCTGAACCCCCTTGTGCAGCCCAAGAGAGGAGATGAGTGCATTTAAATGAAAATGTCCCCTCTTTAACGTAGCCTGAAAGTCTCAAAACATTTTACTAAATAGATTAACTTGACTATTGTCTTGCATCACATTTATCAGCTTCATTAAGTGAATAGCTGAACAAATATATTACGCATGCATGAAAGGCTCTTTTTCGAGGGGCCTCATTGTATCGTCAGGCCTGACAGGTGGTTAACTGTGTGTTGTGTTTTTTTGTGGGTTTTTTTGTGTTTTCTTCTTCTTCTTTTTTTTTTTTCCACTGAAGAAAGAGGATCTCTGTAGGGCTACATAGGCCAGGCGCAGTGCTGGCTTGGCGAGTCCCCCTGGAGCCTTCCTTTCCACACTGGCTACATTAACACGATGAGTGTTGGGTGTGCATTCAAATGAATCAAAATTAAATCTTGGTGCACGGGGACTTGCGTGCTTTTTCTTTCCAGCATGCGCCCTTGTCTGGGAAATTAATTTCATATTATTTCTTTTCAAAGCTGATAGACCCTCCCTCTTCTTGGAAAAGAAATGGCCTTTGCTTTACCTTGCCCAGCCAGCTCTTTGCGGACTGCAGGATTAGTTATTTTCACTCACATTTGGCTGTGGGGTTTCCCTGAAGAGTGCTGGAAGGGCCCTTTGAGATCTGACCTTGTAAGGTCTAACAATACATCCTTACACTTCACCGCTGCTCCCAGCCTCTGGTTGGGGTGACCTCCAGAAGGACCACATCTCCATCTTAGGAGCATGGCCATGGTGGCGGGAAGACAGGCCGGGGGGCACAGGGCAGATGGCTGGCCCCAGAAGGACTGCGTGGATTGGCTTCTGTTCCTCCACCTCGGGATCCACTTGGTGTCACTTGCACCCTACCTTAGCCCAAGCATGCCTGACTTGCCCACAGTGCCTCGGCAGCCCTCGTCCTGCCTGGAAGTGTGGCTGGCATGAGGTGAAAACAGGAGGATCTTCTCTGGCTTCTGCTTCTTCCCCTTGCCCTGGGCCTCAACTTTTAACTGCTTTGATTACCCACTGCCCCTTTCTGTCTTTCCATGTCCCATCATCCCACCCCCACCCCCACCTTCTCACGCTGAGCTGGAGCTATTGATCTCCAGTCCCACCCCCATTCTGGTTAAAGAGGGCTGGACACAAGTGAAGGTCACTGATGGGTGATAGTGAGGTGTAGGATCTTTCTTTGGCCTCAAAAAAGCTGCTGCTTTGTCAGCGGAAAGATGGGAGAAAAACAAGAACATCAAATCAGTTCAGTCTTCTCTCTCTGATCTTTCCAGTCTCAAGGATGGGAACCAGAGGCCTCTTCAGGAGGCTGGGTTTGTGTTCAGATCAAGGTGGCCTGGATGGGGGTGGAGGTGCGGTCATTCC